TTAAAGATCGTCGCGCGCTCGTAAATCGTCGCAACGCTTCGAGGAGCATACCTAACGATTTTTCGAGATCTTAATGCTTTCGGCGAGCTATCAGCACCCGCCGATACTCCATGAATTTGGAACTAAACGCATGTATCAAAAAAAGGTTGGATTACCTGTAGCTCTTTCATATAAATAAATTTAGGATTATATATCTAGATTTACTAGTATATCTTATTAATCGTTCCAAGAAAAAGCTTTTTGCACAAATTAAATAAATTACAGTTTTATCTATTCCAATAAAAATAAAAATAAACAGAATTTTATTTAGAAGGGAATAATTTTTATGATTAGTATAATAAAAAAATTGCACTTATAGCGAAATTACTCGAATTAAAAAATATTTTCGCCACTTTTAGATGAAAAACAGTACAGTAATAACGAAAAGCAGAGGATCGAGACATTCGTCGAGAAATGTCGAGATAAACATCGGCGGGAAAAGCCGATGTTAAACAATTACTATCGTGATAGCTAGCAAGGCAACCGCCGTCTCGAACGTGGCCAATGAATGGTCGGAGGTCTCAATCACGGCTTTGCCCCGCAGTAAGAGCATCTAAATCAATAGAGAGGGTGCCGTTGTGTTCCGCGAACAAAACGGGGTGTGTTGTTGGCGGTTTGTAAGATTAGAGGCAGGCGGCGGCCACGAAGCCGAGGAAGACCACACGCCGCGTGCGCGTAGCTCCTCCGTCTTCCTTGCATCTACGCAGGAGCCTTCAACATCCTCGTCGTCTCGTTTCTTCTTCTCGGGCCCGACTATTCGCTCCTCTTGGCCGTTCCACCTGATTTCTTCTTTCACATTCGTCCGACTCTGTTCCACCTGACCACTCTTCCTCTTTTACACCTCGCTACGGCCGATCTGTCCCTCTTTCTTGTGTCCCGATCGTTCCTCCCGATTTCTTTCACCGAGGGACAGACCGCGAAGGTTATTTATCGCGCGTGTTCTTGGCTACTGGAACTGCTGAGTGATCTTGCGTTCTGGGACTGATGTTGCGACAAGAGGGGAGAAAGGAATATAGAAGATGAATGATGCAAGGCGGAATGATTGGAGTGTGTATTTGTGAGATCCATTAAATTTCTACGCGTTGATTGCATCATGTAGTTGATCTACTAGATTGTTCGCTAATTTCTAATTGTCGCTATTAAATGCTTTACCTAATAATTATTTAGGTATATATACCAAATCATTTACACAATTCTACTAATCTATAATTTTCATCTTGAAAGAAACAATTAATAAATGTCAGAAAAATAATAACAAAAAATTATTAAAATAAGAAATTAAGTTATCTCAAAAACTAAGCAAATATTTTTAGAAACATCTTCAAGGAAAACATTCATTAGTATTCTATTATTGTATATTCATTAGTATTCTTGTCTACGACGATGTATTATTATCGCGTTAGTGTATCATACGCTCAAGTTATCTCGCTTTTTCTTCCCGTCTTTGGATCTTCACTATCCATGTCACTAGATCGATCCAATATATTTTTAATATTTTGGTGTTAAATCAGTACGTTATGATCGAATAAAAAGAGACGCGCTGAGATTCTACATCCGAGACGTGCATTCAAAAAGATCTCGTCTCCCTCTGTTCCTTCTTCTTCTTCGTCTTCGTTTCCCCTCCTTTCGCGACGGTACATTAGCGGCGGGAACAGTGCCTGACTTTCTTTTTATTTTTCCCCCTTTGTTCGAATTATAATACATAATTTATCCAGCTTGTAAATGTAGCGGACGTAATAAAGATCTATGTGTATCTTTAAAAATTTTTATCGAAATATTCAATTGTGTGTGTGTGTGTGTGTGTGTGTGATAAATCGTCAATCGTTTTGTTCATTTAAAATATATAATTTTTAAAATGGAAAATAAATATTTTCTGTTTAATCTATTCATTATTTCAAACTTTTTCAAGCATTTCAACTTTTCCTTAAAATTAAATATTTTATATATATTTATATATGCAATATATTTGTAATTTAATCTATTGCGGCAAAAAGATTTCTTTATTCTTAAGTTACAATATAGATAATGTCAAAAAAGAGGAACGAAGATTGCTTGTTTTGCAACAGCATGAAAAGATTGGTCAAGAAGTGACAGAAGCAACAGGTCGAGTACCCTCGTGAATCCTTGCGCGAAGTTGCAATCTCGGGCATACGTCTAATCAAAACTAAATCTTCCCGACAAGGTAATAAACTCGACACATCTACGCGCCACGGGACGCCTAATATTTCTTCGCGCCCCTTACCGCCGGTAATAAATAAAAACGAAAGGAATTCCCCTTTACATGTTCGCCGACCAGACCTATATTTCTACCAATCCCAGCGTGCCCACGAAACTGCTGGATACTTCAATAAGTAGAACCCACGTGTACAAACACATGTACATATATCGCAGAGATTCATATAACATTTAACATGTAGTAAATAAGGTACTAATAATAGCACCGTGAAAAGTATCCATATAATAAATTCCTTATGTGTGACCAGTGTGTGTAATTGAAATTTTTATTATTACTTTTATACGACTAATAATATTGCTTTATAATCTGTCGACTCTAGAAATTTCATATGAAATGATAACGACTTCCTGATACGCATTACGCGTATGGAGAAAATGTCTAGTCGCATTTCAAATTCAGTGAGCACACGAGATACGGTCGCCTTGCTTTAATTAACTTAACATCGGCTACGCTATAATTACGCTTATCGTTCGATTAACCCCGGATGCTTCAATTATGTTCGCTTCGTGGTTTATGCGCTGTTAAAATGACGAGATGTATCGCGGATATCGCTCCTGAAAATCTCTCTTCAAAGAAAACACAGTGATTTTGCCGCGTCGAGAATCTTGATAGGCATCGAAAATCTTGATAGATCGATCGATATATTTCTAATCTAATAAATAATAAATATTATTTATTAAAACTTACCAAGGATGCCATCGATAGAGTGATTCCTGCGTGGATCGTCGTTGGGACGAGTCTGATTGGCTGGTCCACGTAAAAGTCTGGTGATGCTGGACACAGAGGGTGCCGAGGCTTTGTCGCAAACTCCATCCTGCTGGCAGAACCGCGTTGGACTAGTTAGTATAATTTTTCTATATTTATTTTATAAATTTTAAATATCGCGCATTTTCAGAAAAATAAAAATATATTTTAAAAAACACGGTCTAAAGAAGGTGCATCTTAAGTATTTTATATAAATATTTTTAAGTTTTATATGTATATATGTTTAAAATATTTTTATCATTTAGTTTTGGATTTTGTAATCGTATTTATTTATTTATATCAAAAGCGGTCTCTTACTTTCTCGAAACTCTTCTCTTTCTCAACTCAAATTTATTTATTAATTTATTAATTACGCTAATGCAAGTACAATGGCACGGGCAATATCAACGGACCTTTATCAATTTCTCCCGTATCTCCCAGCTGAATATGCCGGGGTTTTGCCGTTTAAAATCCTCGATCTTCGCCTCGACTTCCGGCGTAGCGACTCGCGGCTTGCTGCCGCCGATCACGCCGGGTCTGATCGATCCCGTTTCCTGATACCGGTTCAGGATTTTGGATACGCATCCGTGAGACACCCTCAGCTGTCTCGATATGACGCACGGCCTGATGCCGGCCGCTGCCATCTCGACGATCTTCAAACGAATATGGTTCGGTAATGGACGTCCGTTGATGAACACACCGCCCAGCTGGTTCACGCGTCCCTGTCCTGCAAAAGTAATAACGCAAATAACGGTTTACACATCGGTCGTAAAATGGCTCTTTACGTTCCAAGAATAGCGCATATCTATCTCAACAATCCATTTGCACGAGTCACGAGTTATACGGAATTAATAATGGAATAAGTAAGGATTTGTCACAAGATCGCGTAGTGTCGGAAACTTCAAACGAAAATGACGCAGATCAGAGTTACTACTTTGAAAGGCATAATTTTCCGGCGTGGTATAGAAAATACAATCCATCCTACTCTGCGAAACAATTATCGCCATTTAACATGCACGAAGCTAAATACAATATAATATAGCACTGTACATGAGACAAAAAGAAAAAAATCACCGTGTATTAAAATGGAGCCGAGGAAAAATAGCGTGTTTTCTCGTCGCCGATACAATGCAGCACGGTATGCAGTGTGCACAAGTGTGGTGAGCGGCCATTTTTCTTGAAATAAATGAGAATAAGCGGAGCCGAACAAAAGTGAGAAGGAGAAGGAGAAGAAGAACGGAGGAAGTAAACTCGCGCAAAAGAGGACCGCTTAGCGAGACAAAGCGCGGCGACACGCGAGGTGCCGCTCAAACGCCGCTAATTACTGGTAATTAGTCCATCCCCCTTAATTAACTTAATTATAATCACGAAGTTAAACAAACGACGTTACACGCGACGGGAAAAGAGCGGCTCCGACCGGCAAAGAGGGGCAAAGAAGCGGAATGAGATGCGCGCGGATGCGGTGGCTCCGGACGATGCCGAGGAGGTTGGACCTCGCGTGCTTCAGAAAACCACGAAAGCGGGACACGTCACGAGTTACGGCCCTGGTTTTGCGCGGAGCAGTAAAAGCTGCGGACGAGGGGAAAGAGGGCGAGAGGGGCGAAGCGAGACGAAGGCGAAGGCGACCTTAAAACTCGGGGAGCCTTAAAAGCGCTTTCTCGCGCGGCGACAACGAGGGGCCTCGACGGACGTACAACCGGGGGCACACACACGGTCCGGTATTCTGCGTTTGTACGTATTTACATAAAGGAAGTTTTGCATAAGAGATGCGCTCCGCGAGAGAAGAGGCGCGCGCGACAACTTATGCGCGTCTCGCGAATGTGATCTACTGGTCCAGAGATCTCTCTGACTGACTGTTGGATTTTTCTTATTGTTATAGTAATAAAATAAATTTGGGTTCTGTATTCGATTGCTCGATAAAACATTTATTTTTAACATGTTATTTTATTATTTTATTATTATTTTATTTTATTATTATTTATGTTATTAACATGTTAATTTATATTTTTGCAGACTGTAATATTTATGTTATATTGAGATTTATATTTATATTATGTTTATATTTATATTGAGATTTTAATTTTTAATGTAATAATGCAAAGAATATAGAAAATGAATGTAACCTGAAAGTCATCCTAAGCCGAAAGGCAAGGATTAATAAATACAATATTAATTTATATTTTTGCTAGTCGCCGTTATTACGAGCTTATTCACTCGCGTTAGGATAATAATAGTCAACAAGTTGAAAAAAATCTTAAACTTTCAAATACAAAAAATAGCGATAAATTTTTGTTGTGACACCTAGAAATCTACCTATATCAGCAAGACATTTTTTTGAGTGTAGAAAGGAACGAGAAAAATTGCACGTATTATTACGGCGTATTTTAATGACGAGACGCGCGAGCGGGGCTGGCGAGATGCGTCGCGAATCCTCGGCAAACCCAAAACATTTTCGCGATCGCATCGGGATCTCGTGGTGCGCGCGAGCGCGGCGGCAAAGTTCGTGATATATTCTCGCCGGCTACCTGCTGCGAGAGCGCGGGGCCTAAGAGTCCACTAATTACCACGGCGTAATTCAAAAGACGACCCCCTTCCCGGGCGCGTCCAAGCCTCTCCGGCACAAAAGTAGTCCCGTTTCGTCGTTCATCACGGGCCCCAGAGATTTACATCCCCCTCCGCTCACCCTCCCCCCTTCCTTCCTACCCCCC